CTTATATATTGATGGTCAACAAATACCTTCAAAAGCTTTGCAACCATCTTTTAATAATAGCATATTTACATCAGCATATCATACTCTATTCTCGGGAACTGGTATTCACTTTCTTAATGAAGGAAATGGAATCTCTTGTGAACAGTATGGCAAAGGTTACTGTCTATTAGCATTTGACTTAACTCCTGATTTATCAGCTAACTCATCAACTCATTGGAATCTCATAAAGCATGGTAGTGTAAGAATAGAAGTACGATTTGAATCCTCATTAATACAAACAATTAACTGTATAGTTTATGCTGAGTTTGATAATATTATTGAGATAGATAAAAACAGAAATGTTACTGTAGACTATAGTAGTTAAGGTTATAATATGTGTTGTGTGTTAGATTTTATGTGTTATGTGTAATGCATTTTGTGTGTATGTAACTATGTGAAACGTTATAAAATTAAATAAAACAAATTGTATGCAATATATTTTTTTTATTTCTTTATAAATCTTCTATTTAATCTAATACAAAACACTGTTCGAGTTGAAATTTTACATAAGCACACTGACTAAACCACTGAACATGCTGCTGCCAAGGATCATCATCATCTTCCCAATCTTTTAAACCACCACCACAATGGAAACACTTGGTCCCGTCTGCATGGCCTGTATAAAAGAAACCAGCTTCGGCAAGATCTTCAGGTTTCTGTCGCATAACTAGAGGCCAGTTTTCGAAACTAAGCAAACGGCTAGATTTTGAACTGAAGAATGGATATTCAGCTCTTGAGTACTGCATACTCTTCTCGTTTTCTTCTCCACTCAGTGTTGTAGTTTTGTTATTCAATGATGTGTTTTGTACACGTATGCCACACTCATCTCTTCCTTCCGCTCTTGTCTTCCTGTAATTGAAGTAAACAGAATCACATTCACTAATGATCAGCTAATGACTGTCATTGTTAAAAAAGTATTTTTTAACTTTTTCACTTTCTGCTATTGTCTTTGTTATATTGTATACGAGGGCGTTTGTATTGTCGTAGATGCTATCCTTATTAGTCTTTACGTAATATTTAATTCTCGTGGAAGCATGTTTCCAATGATCAGTAGTTGGAATCTTGGATAGCTTCTTCATATCGTACATTTCAATTTTGATGAGATGCGTCGCTTGGTCTCCGTCGTCAGAATTAGTAGAAATGTATGATACACCATCTCTAGCGGCTCGTGCTACGGTTGATGATAACAGCTTCCTCTTTTTTATTTTTGATTCAGCTTCAAAAAAATGATCAATCGATTGCGATTTTCTTTTTCCACCATCGCATGTGTTATTATTAATGACGAGGTTATCACTCTCTTCTTGAGGGGAGAGTGGCGAGTAGTAATACTGTTTATAGGTATCTTCATCGAAGCTCAATGATTTCTGCAACAACACAGTTATCATGTTAATATCAATTTGTTAACACTTAATCATAAAAGTTAAAAAAGTTAAAGTTACAGCCTATTAAAGTCCACTGCTGAACATAGGCCTCCTCTCATTTCTGAGAGGGTTTTAGAGCAAGGAAATGTCCGCCGCGCTCCCTCAATGTGTGTTGGCGAACTTCACATGCCTTCGAAATTTTCTCAGACATGCAGGTTTCCTCACGATGTTTTCCTTCACCACCAAGCACGTGGTAATAAGCACTTAAAATTGCTATTAACAATTTAATTGGTGCTGGCGGGGATCGAACCCGGGTCGCGTACTGTGAAATTTACAGCTAGCGCTAACCATCTGAGTTACCACGGCTTAATCATATACATACACAATATTTAAATAAAATAATACACACACATGAAAATAACAGAAAAAAAGTAATTTAGTCAATAGAATAAACACTTACATCCATAGCCTTTGGTGTATTGAAGTAACACAAATGTACTATTGATAGATCCACTGTAGCCAAACGACCGTACACTAACTCGATGACTGCATTTGTTGGTCTTATATACCACCAGTACGTAAAAATTCTAATCTAAAGTATTTCCGTAATGAGTTGATAATTACTTTATGCGTCAACCAGTTTATCTCACATTTCCGTTGCCTATCTCAACATTTCTTCGTATTGTGTTTTGTTTGGTGATCAATGACTCAAGTACGATTTGTATAACACAAAAATGCAATTTAATATGTAGAAATCACTATAATTGACCATTCCTATGTTATTCATTGAGTAGCTAGGTACTGTAATAATCTACTAATAGCAGTAATATCATGGATACACTAGATGTACAACAACATCTGAAAAAGATTCACCCCAGTCTAGAAAATAATGTTTATGCAGCTAATAGACTGCCTATGTATACCCACGTACCAACGTATATAATATGTAATTTGGATACAGATGATAGACCAGGTTCACATTGGGTAGCTTTATATATCGATACGAATGACGTCGGTCAATATTTTGATTCATATGGACGATCACCTGTACGATATCATCTAGAGTTTTTAAAAAGGAATTGTAAAAGATGGAACTGGAATGTTGATAGGATTCAGAATGAGTGGACTTCAGTTTGTGGCGAATATTGCTTAATGTATTTACTATATAAGTTTCAAGGATGTTCAATACATAGTTTTACGAGTATATTTACAAGGAACACATTGTACAACGATATTTTAGTGGATGAGATGTTTCGTTCCTATTTTATAGATAATAATTAATAAGATTTTGTATTTTATAAATAAAAATTGTAACAAAATTATGTAATGTGTTTTATTGATGATTCAGATTAGCGTTGTATAAACAAAGAATTATAATAAACAATAATTAGATATTAGCTAATTGATCTACACATCTCCGGAACCGTGCATTCTACACAAAAATGGATTTTTTTTTTTTTTAGGATCGGGCGTCGACAAACGTCGTTGAACCACGTCTGACTCAGGTGGTCTAGAAGTGGTACAACTACACTACTGGCATCAGCATTTTGGCTGATTATGCGATTTTCGAAAACAGTGCGCAAAAGATCGATTGTTACGTTGGCTGTGTGGCATGTTGCGCCGTCCTGTCGGAACCAAATGTCCTCTATGACATCCTCTTCAATTTCGGGAAACAATAAATCGCTTAGCATGGCGCGGTAGCGATCGCCATTCCCTGTGACGGCATTTCCTTGCTCATTTTTAAAGAAAAATGGCCCAATAATGCCCCTAAACCAAAATCCGCACCAGACAGACACTCATTGTGGATATGGTTTCTCCACGATGACGTGTGGATTTTCTGAAACCCAGATACGACAATTTTGCTTACTGACATATCCTCCGAGGCGGAAATAAGCTTCATCTGAAAAGGTGATTGTTCGGTAAAATGCTCATCCTCGAACAAGCGGTCTTCGGCCCATTTGCGCTGGCTAATACTCGTCCGGTACTTGATTTTAATTATGTTTTCAGTTTAGGAGGCTTGTCAGGGTTAAGTTTGTTTTTGGATGTCGAAAATTCGTTTTGAATTAATTAAGATAAAAATAAATTACACTAAAAATTGCTTATAACGAAATGCAAATATGTCACTTTGGTCTAGTATTATGAAGTAGACGTCGAGTACTTGAATTTAATTAATTTCAGTTTAGGAGGTTTGTCAGGGTTAAGCTTGAACCTTTTATACTCTTTTTGGATTTCGGAAATGTGTTTTGAATTAATTACGATAAAAATAAATTTCACTAAAAATTATGATATCTATAAAGATAAGAGAGTTCGAATCTGTACTAAAACCGAATCAAAACGCCCCGACTCCACGAGGTATTGTCTGCTCTACCCCTACAGTATTTTGTAAAGCCTTAGGGGCGGAGTGAGAGCAGCCCCGCCAGCTGTAGCAAATCGCAGACACCTGTGTGAACCATAGCGGATGAGGCTGGTCACCGAAGGCGAACATTAAACCGAAGCTGCGGAGGGTAGCATGGGTGCCTATGATTTGCTACGCAAGGGCGAAGAGGCTAGACTTCCCGCAGCGCCGAGCCGTTGCAGAAGTAACTTTAGAGTCAATATTCCTGTGTAAAAAAGCGAGGTTATGATTTTACAAAACAATTATTACTCATTAACTATACATTTCCGCAAAGGGGGAAAGTGGGGGGGGGGGATTCTATTGAACCTTCCCCCTCCCTCCCCCCACTCTCACTCCCGTACGCGAGTACCTAATGTCTATAGTTTTACCGCTCGTTGAGCAAACCGAAAACGCATCGGATGGTCATGCGGCTTCAGCTCTTGCACTAATTGAACTTTGTACGCATTCATACAGAGATGTTTATGCAAAATTCTTCTCAAAGAATTGCGTGAAATGTTCAATTCTTGAAAACGATGACGAGTTGATGTTGATGGTTGTTCACTCACACTCTGAGCAACAGCAGCTATGTTTTCGGTTGAGCGCACTGGACGAGTACGTACACGGGTTGTTTTAGCCAACAACGATCCAGTTTCACGAACTCGCTTCACAAAATAATCAAACAAACCGTTTTTTCGCGGGCTTGTTGCTCGCAGCAGTCAACATTTTTGGCAATAATTTCGTGGTATAACATTTAGAATTGATACTACTATATATTATAGAAGATATATCCAATCAAAGTACACCAAGAAAAACCTAGCAAAATAAATCTTCCCTATGCTAAAGCACAGGCGCGTAATATACTACGTTTAAAAAATTCTTAAAAGTTAAATTTTAATTAGACGCATATTTTTAACCAAAAAGGAGGAGATTACTAATGCGACATCATTGTTAAAGTCTTTTAACAACATATTTAAAATACTTTAAAATATTTTTTTTTATTTACTATTACCTTAGAGTATACTACTTACATCACAAGCGTAGCTTTCTTATGTAACTGTGACCCATATCCAAAGCACTATCAGCTAGATCCAATAGGAATTAAAGTTCGGTAACATTTAAAAAAGCAATTACTGTACATAAATTTGAAAGAGAAAACCATTTTAAGGATAACTATTACTTAATATTATGTTGGCAGTTTAATGGTTATATATTATGTACATATATACCTATAACTTTGTTGAGTGCTGAGCCTCGTGCCGATACTGATAGGCTTATACAGTCGGTTGAACCGCGCCTCCCAGTGCGAGATAGCGGCGTGCTGGCGCTCGGCGTCCAGCGCCAGGCCCAGTAAGTGGCTGTCCAGCTCCATCAGCCTTCGTCGCAGTCGCATTTGCTGCTTGAATGTCGATACAATGGCTTCACGTAGAGACTTAAGGTGGGCAGTATTCTCTATTGCATCTTCTCTACTCATTTCTTCTTTGCTTAAGTCTTCCTTGCTTCTGTTGATAAATTTGAACTCCCGTTTTATAAAATTTGATTTTATTCATATTTGAGTTTCTTATAATTATTCATATATTTGAGTTTCTTTCTTAGTATTACTTTTTATAGCATTACTTTATTAAATTGCTATTACTGGTTATCAAATAATGTTTGAAATCATTATTCTTACCTGTTTATGTATGTCATATGTATGTACTATAACTGATTTATAAATTACAGCAATACATAAAATTTTACAATTACAATACATATTATTTTTATACGTGGTAGAGCCATGCTGCAGCTATATTAGTAGTATAGTTGTAGCACGAATGGGTCGGCTCGACCGGGGAAGGACCACGCTCTCACAGAATACCAGCGTAAAATAGCAGCTTGACACCGCTGTGTTTCGTATGGTGAGTGTAGAGAACCGCGGACCCATTTTACTGGAAAAGAGGCATTCCATCTTAGTCCTCACGGGTGACCATGCATCTGCATTTTGATTCTTTATTGAGGATAAATGTAGATGTCTATGGGCCGCAGCAACCACTTATCATCAGGTGGACTGTTTGCTCGTTTGTCACCCTATCCTATAAAAAAAAAACTGTTCAACTAATTTAACAATTTATTAGCTTAGTTACTTAAAATATCCATCCATCCATTCATCATCATCATCATTACAGCTTTTCATAAGTCCACTGCTGAACATAGGCCTCCTCCAAGTAATGCCACAAAGCACGGTCCTGAGCCACCTGCATACATCGACTTCCTGCATGTCTTACCAGGTCGTCACTCTATCTCGTGGGGGGTCGCCCTACACTTCGCCTACCGGTACGAGGCTGCCACTCAAGAACCTTTCTTCCCCATCGATTGTCGGCTCTTCGAGCTATATGGCCAGCCCACTGCTACTTCAGCTTACTCCATCCATTACAGTCTATAAAGTCCACTGCTGAACATAAACCACTTCCATAGGTTGCCTTATAGAAGGATTTTGTCATAGTTGCCACGCTTGGCTTGCGGGTGGACAACCGCCATTTTTTATTATTTATTATTTGGAGTTGCTATCAGGAAGATGCTGCCGCCCATCTGCTATTTTAAAATTCCCACTGTCGCCTCTTACGACAAATATATAATAAGTAAATTAAAAAATTGCTATTAAATATTAAACATTCATGTAAATATTTCTATACAAATGTAAGTAATAATACGTAATATAGCTTCTCCAATTGGCTTATTTGTCAAGATTTGTATAGAAAGTTGGCAGATATTTCCTTGTAGAAAGTGTTTATTACGCAATAGATTTAAATAACTATAAATAAAATTAATCTACCTTGAACGATCGTCTTTCATTTTAACCTTCAGACGAGCTATTTCTTCTCGCAACTCATTAATAACGGTTCGATATTGTGATAGATGCATTGGAGTCTCCACCACTTCGCGCTCGACCTAAGAATAGCCATTTAGATAATATTAATCTATAAACAAAATAAAGTAAAAGAAATTTAGATGAAGCAAGAAATTTTAGTTAAATTTTCAAAAATGCAGTAAGAATGTTTTAAGTGTTATTGCTGTATTTTCTGAAAATTTAATAAAAATAATTAAATCATGATCAGGCCATGCATTTTAGTAAGAACTTGATCGCAAACGAATCCGCTCATGTATTATCATTTCATATAATGCTTTCCTTCTTTGGTTATAAAAACCTTGACATACTTTGTTCATTTTGACGCCTACGCTTTTCACATGATAACCATTAAGATACTTGTGTTTTGATGCTTACGTGCAAGATAAACCCTAAGTAATTTGATAAATATTAGTGCCAATGTCAACAGAAAGAGACTAACATAAAATAGCAGTACAATACTGTTGTGTTTCGTATTGGCAGTGAAGAGAACCGGAGACCCTTTGATTGGAGACAAGATATTCTCCCGAAGCCGTGTTGCGTTAAGAGTCTATCTGTCATCCCCATTTCCTCCCATGGGTGTCGTAAAAGTCGTAAACTATTTATTAATCTGTGGTAAAAGGCAACCATCCGAAATGCTAGAAATATCACAGCCTCTAATAGAAACTCGTATATAACCCAGCGACGGGGAGTAAACTCTAGTACAACAATAACTAATTTTCATGCCAAGCGTGGCGATAATAGCAATTCCTTCTCACGACGGGAGGACCCATATTCAGCGGAATAATGACCTACGTCCATATTTTTTCTGATTTTTAATGACTTCTTATATTTACGCGAATACTATACATTGAATAATACAATTTGTGCCGCTGTCCCTTCAGTGGTGCCAAGTTGACTGTCGGTATATCGAAGTGCTAAATTGTTTGTACAGTAGGGCTACGATAGCTATCCGAATACAGAACCAGAGTACGAAACCTATCCAACTGCAGAGAGATGTAAGACAGGGTGACGTAATATCCCAGAAACTCTTCACCACTGCATTGGAAGACGTTGTCAAGCTACTGGACTGGAAAGGATACGGTATTAATATCAATGGCGAGTACATCAGTCACCTTCGGCTTGCCGACGATATAGTCTTTATAGCAGAATCGCTGGTAGACCGACGCACTATGCTCAATGACCTCAATAGTGCCTCCCAACGGATAGGTCTTAAGATGAACATGGATAAAACAAAGATTTTATTTTATTTATTTTATTTATTTATTTCTGAAACTTACAACTATCATTACAGGATTACCTAATGCGATAGTGTAGCTGTCTAACTAATTTGTCTTCATGCTTTAATTTTTGTAACAAATTACAAGCAATGCTATCTTTGTGAATTCACTCAGAGTACAACAGAATAGGTCCGTCTCACTAGCTATTAAGTTGAGCGTATGGAGTGCGCGCGTCAGAGGCGCCTTACTCAGAAGGTTGGTTCGAGCGCGCGGCTCCACCAACAGTCGCGGCTGCCGTCGGCGCCACACATACCTCTCAGGAACATATAGGTTTAATTGCCCTAACATTTCAGCGTTATGCAATTTTCCTCTGAGTACTTTAAAAATATACGAGGTGAGCGCAAGTTCCCTTCTAACTCTTAGTTCATTATATCCTACCATACCTAAGATAAACAAAGTTGGATACATTAGAGGATAAAATGGGTATACACCATAATAACGCATATATACATATCTAATAAATTTATTCTGTACTCGCTCTAGCATGAGACTATACTTAGTTTCATGCGGAGCCCAGACGACTGCATTACATTCAAGTTGACTCCGTACCAATGTATTATACAAGGCGACTATCGCTCTTATGTTTGTGAATCCTCGGACCGTACGAAGCATAAATCCTAGATTTCTATAAGCCTTTTTACAGATGTTTATGATGTGATCATGAAAAGTAAGCCCTGTATTAAAAGTTACTCCTAAATCTTTAACTTCTCTGACCCTTGTCATCGGCAGCCCGTCAATGTGATATTTATTTAAAATAGGAGTGTGCGCACGAGAAAAACTAATTAACACACACTTAGAGCTGTTAAATTGCAAAAGATTTTCTTTGCTCCAATTTACAACCCTGTCTATGTCTCTTTGTAGAATAGCACAGTCGTGCCCATTTTTTACCGCAAGAGACAATTTAAGGTCGTCAGCAAACAATAAACACCTAGCGTCTTTCACCACTTCTGGTAGGTCGTTTATCATCATCAAGAACTCCAAAGGGCCAAGGTTACTGCCCTGACTTACCCCGGACCACGTGAAATATGGCTCTGACTGATGTCCCTCATATTCCACATATTGCTGTCTATCGGACATGTAACTTGCAAAAAAGTGCAGTAAATGTGGGGTAAAACCAAAAACTGCTAGCTTTTTAAGCAACACGTTATGATCTACTAGGTCAAATGCTTTTTTAAAGTCAAAATAGGCTGCATCCGTCTGTACCCCCTTGTCTCCACTCGGTATCAAATGAGCCATCTGACAGAGAAGGTTACTAGTTGTACTCCTTCCTGGTCTAAACCCGTGTTGAGCGTCTGAGAGTTGTGCGCTCACCTGATGGAATATTGTCTTATGAATAGCAGCTTCAAATACTTTTGCCGGCGAAGACAACACTGCAACAGGCCTGTACCCATCCACTGATTCTGCTGAACCTCCTTTTGGAACCGGAACAACGCGGGTTACTTTCCACCTCTCCGGAAACACAGCGGCCTTAAGGCATTTGTTATATATATGCAATAGCGGCTTGGCTAGTACTGACCGACAATCCTTAAAGATATAAGGCGGAATGCCATCAGGTCCTGCAGACCGTTTGGGCTTAAGTTCTTTAAGCGCATGACATACGTCTGCCAATTGTAATTGGTCCAAGTGTACCCGCGCCGCTCCGTTTCCACTACCTGCTCCTACTATAGCAGAAGTCACGTCCAACTCCGGCCGCTCTGTACTATAAATAGAATAAAAATACTCTGCGAATTCGTCCACACACTGCTGACCAGACAACGCTTCCCCGTCTTTCAAAATCAATTTTGGGCTCCTCTTACGTCTTTTGGATTTAACAAAATTCCAAAAAGATTTTGGATCTTTCAACATTTGATTTTGAACACGTTGTTGATATTGTTCCTGTGTGAGTCCTATCATATTCTTCACATTAGCCCTACACCTAGCAAACGCGTCATAATCAGTTCTCGATCTACTGGCCTTGTACCGTTTATGCAGTAAAGCCTTCAATTTTATGTTGCGAATTATTGCAACAGTGTACCACTCCGGGTAAATGTACCTTGAGTTTACACGACTTCGCTTTTTTTTCGGAACACAGTCATCCATAGCAGAATTGATAATTTTATAAAAATATTTTAAGCTCCTTTCCAAGTCTAACTCATATATAGGAGTCCAATCTGCTGCCGCAATTAAGGAATATAATGACAAAAAGTCGGCTTTATTAAAGTTCCAACCTAGTGGTGCGAATGTGTTAATTTCTGGTGCAGCTGAGTCTCATCATGTGTAACGTCCATATTCACACCTATGTCGGTAGTTGTTGGTAGCACCAAGCTCGTAGTTGTTGACAAGTACGACCGAGAGGTTAATCGACGGATTCAACTCGGTTGGGCATCGTCAACCTCAAAACTTGAAAACGAACACAATTTGTACAACTAGTGCACACACACTGGCTGTATCTACATATTGTCTTGCCAGTGATGACTTATGGATCTGAGACGTGGTCCTTCACTGCTGGCCGTATGAGGAAGTTCAAGGTGGCTGAGCGAGATATAGAAAGAGCTATGTTCGGGGTTTTCCTGCATGATAAAATTAAAATTGAGGTTATCCGCAGTAGAACTAGAGTAATTTAAATAGCTCAACGGATTAGTAAGCTGAAGTGGCAAAGGGCCGGCCATATAGCCCGAAGAACCGGCAACCGATGGGGAAGTAAGGTTATTGAATGGTAGTCTCATACCGGTAGGCGAAGTGTGGGGCGGTCCCCCACTAGAAGGAGTGATGACCTGGTAAGACAAGCAAGAAGTCGATGGATGCAGGTGGCTCAGGCACGTGCTTTGTGGAATTCTTTGGGGGACGCCTATATTTAACAGTGGACTTGTGAAGAGCTGTGATGACTATAATGATGATGAATAAAACTATTTTTACGGATTTTATCGCGTTTAACTAACGTATTTTAATTACCGACGTGCCGGGGAGAGACAGATATTTGACGTCCCGATGTCGTAGTAGGAAGTAGAAAAATAAACGATTTTTTTAATTTCTTAAAAAATCTAATGTTTAATATTAGAGATACAGATTTATTACTGTTAAAAAATATAACATGTTATAAATTAAAAATCGCTCATTTTTCTACAATCTACGATTTTACAATATTTACGTTCATCCCTCAAACTTAAAACCTCCCTAACTCGGTTAATTTTGACTAGAGAAAAAAAAACAAAACCTTTCTTATATAAAACAAAAATTTTCACAGTGGTAGAGCCACGCGGCAGCTTTTGCTGTCGCACGGATGGGCCGGCTCGAACCGGGGTGGTACCACGACCTCACAGAATACCAGCGTGAAGTAGAGGTTTACCTCTGCGTTTCGCTTGGTGAGTGCAGGTGGCCGGAGGCCCTTTTTACTGGAAATGAGGCATTCCATCTTAGTCCTCACGGGTGGCAACGCATCTGCATTTTGATTCGCTAACGAGGATAGATGTAGATGTCTATGGGCCGCAGCAACCACTTACCATCAGGTGGACTGTGTGCTCATTTGTCACCCTTATTCTATAAAAAAAAAAGTTTGTCTCTACATATTTTTATTAGAACTTTTTTGTCTAACTTTTACCGTTTTCGAGTAATTATGAAAAAACACTTTTGACGATTTTTTTTCAACCGTTGCAGACACGAAAACCTCTACACATTCTTTTTGTATCAAAAATGCAAAGTTGAGTGCCAAAATTTTGATTTCAGACCTTATTTGACTGGACTAATTTGTGTTGAATGTTTTCGTATATTGTGACTAAGCTTGTTTC